ATAAAAACTAATTTAATACAAAAAAAAATTTACTGATATTGACCCTATTGGTAGTTCTAAAATAATTTTGTTTATCTTACTCACTTTAATTATTCATATTATTATAAATTTTTTTTATTTCAAAAATATTATAAATAAATATATAAATTATCTTTAAAATTTTAATTTAATTTTTTTTAAAAATAATTATTTTGAAATAAAAGAATAATATTTTAAATAAAAAATAAAAATCAAAACATTATGTATTAATTCAATTCAACTTTAGTTGTCTTTTTTTTTTTTTAATTTGGAATGTTAAGCATTAGTTGTCCATTTTTCTATTTTAAAATGTCATTTGATGTATTTTATTTTTAGTTTACTATTTTTTATTCCAAAAATAACTATTACTTTTATTTTTCTCTATATTAAGAATTTAAAATTAATATTTATATTTATTTATAATATCCTTTAAAAATAAAGGATAAAAAAAAATCTCTTGTAATTAGATATTAATTAAAGTGAATATGATTTGGAATCGCTTACTCCAACCTGATATATAATTTGGGGCAAAAGCCCCTCATTTGCCTTTCAACTTTTCGAGTTTGAAGCATTTTAGCCCCCCATATTACAATATATGGGTTTTTACCCTTAATGGTTTTGAGTTTGGGAAAATGAGGTAAAATTTAATGTTAGAAAGTCATGTGCAACATGTGCACCATTGGCTTCCATCATATATGCACATGTCAATGCTAACTCAAACTTTTTTGACAAGTTGGCAAGTCCAGCTTGGACCCCCATTACCACTATTAATTTTATTTGTGGGCCCTACCATTGACTAAAGGTTTGAAAAAATAAAAGGATAGATGAATGCAAACAAATCTATTTAAATGATCCCTAGGGCACAAAGAGTTTTGAGTTTCCTTCTCTTCTTTGATCTATCACATTCATGCCCATTTCATTTACTTCCTTGTTCAATGGCTAGTTCCAACAACTCTCACACTTTAGCATCGATGGAATTTGGAAGACACGAGTATGATTATGAGGGGCCAAGTCAGTTTTGCTTTTGTGGTTTGAAGGCTCCGAAAATCATGTCTTGGATTGAAAAGAATCCTGGTTAGAGGTTTTTTTGATGCCTAATCTATGATCCCATAGTAATTTCTTCCCTAATGTTTGATTTTAAACTAATGTGTTGTTTAGGGGTTTTTTTGTTAAGATATTTCGAAGGTATTGTGTGGTAATGTTTAGGGTTTTGCTTTGCATAGAGATTGAGTTTTGATTAATTGTTAATAAAATGTGATTTTTGACATTTGCAGAACAAAAAGCGATAGTGTAAGTATTTTGTTTAGTATGATCGAGATTTCTTTTTTAGGGCTAAGAGGTTATCTTGTGGCTTTACAACAATAAGATAAAATTGGAAACTGATTTGGATTATGTAAGGGAAAGGATCAAAGCTCTTAGGAATGTTTTGAAGCGTAACGAAGAAAAAGGAGAGCAACAGATTGAGGCATTGAAGAAGAAAGTCAATGATTTGCAGATGTTGGTGACACTAACAATGGTGTATGCTGCGAAGCTAGAGAAATGGAAGAAATGAGGCCAAATTTTTTTGCTCATGGCTGTTTTCCTTGCTATTCTACTTGCTTTTTCCTTGTTTAGGAGTTGGGTTCTACCTATTAATGGGAACAGGGTTTTCAAAAGGCTTGGAAATCAAGAAACTAGGCAAATAGGGAGAGTTTTGTTTTTTTTGGGCATTATCTATTTTTTGGTTGGCAATGTGGTTGTATTGAATGGTAGGGTTGAAGGTTTGTAGATACTACCCCCAATAATTCTAGTATGAGGCCTCATTTTTCCCCAAGCTTTGTACTTTATTTTGGATATAATAAATGGTAATTGACTTCTCCAAAATTGTTATTTCATTTTTTTGAATATTGATCAGATGGAAATAACAATTTATTCTATTAATGTCAACAACCATAAAAGGTACATACATAGGGAAATATCACTTATTATTAATTGATAATATAAGCCAAAAAGATTACATTTACATAGTTATCTTGTTAGGATTGTACAAAAGCTGGAAATAGAAAAAAACATCCACCATTTTCCCAGAATTTCATCACATACTTCAAAAATCCAAAATAAAAAAAATCCTACATATTCTTGCTAAGTACAGATCCTACCAAAATAGATATAAGACCATGTGATTCACTTTGTTTCCATATTATTTACTACATTTACATATTACCTACAAAAAACACCTTCTGCAACCCTAAACCCAAGTTCTGTAACCCTAAACCCAAGTTATGTACTCCCATGCAACAAACCAAAAAAAAAAAAGAACCATTCATCAAGCTTCATTTAATCCTTTCTTCTTAGCCCATTTCCGAGGTGGCTGTGCCTTATGAAATTGGTTAGGGTGGGTATGTTTCATAGCACTCTCCCCTTGTAGACCTTGTTGTAGAAATTAATAGAAATTATCAAAAAATAAATGATCAATGTAATTCACATTCTTAGTTGAATGTTAAGCTTAAACTCACAGGATTCAATTTTGGTGAATTAATGTATTCACCAAATCTGTGCTTCTTCTTTCTTCCTAGCCCATCAGATTGACTAGACTGCATAATAAAAAACTAGCAGCAAAAATAAACACATATAATTAGCAATAGAGCACTATCAATAGGAAATCATAGATCCTAAGTAATTACCACTCAATAAACATACATTTTCATCAACAAAATATCTAGAAGCACATGTTGTCCTGGTGTAATTAGGCTGTTTACAATAGCTACAAGTTGGAGATTTTCTTGGTATTGGCTAACGAGTGCTTGTTGATGCTCCCTATTGAGTATGAAAAAAAATGTCATTATAGTATAATTTGTTGATAATAAAGTAGGTGTAAGTAATTAACTTATTTCACTTTCAATTGGCATTTTGGGGGATCCTCTTTTATTGTGTCTAGGCTGCTTACAAAGTGAACATGTGATTTTTCCACCTTCCTTTGTCATCTTTTCTAGCTGTCCCACCTTCACCTTTCTGGTTTCATTATCGTTCTTCATCCTATTTACCTTAGGCCTACCCTGCTTGAATCTAAATGGCAGTAGTTCTAATGGCTCCCTTTGATAATTTTTTCAAAATTTCTTACTATTACAAGGCATGATTAGTACATTGTATGCATGTTCATACTTAACCCTTTTGTACCAAATTTGAAATAAATTCATCCGAGTTGAAGTTACTTAAACCTATTGTAGACAATGCATGAGGACATGGACTTCCTATTAAATCCCATGCTCTACAACTACACTTTTTCCCAACCAAGTACACAACAAAATTTTCATTCCAATACCAAACATCATAATGGGTCCTACCATTCCATTCACATCTACATTTGGTTGCTTCAATCTTAAGTGCTTCTAATTTCTTCTTAATTCTGGGTGTTATATCTCCTCTCCATTTGCTGACTTCTTCTCTATTCTTCGCCATCCTAACCATCACCTTAACCTTTATACATTCTAACAATTGGATGATTGACATATACTTGGCATCCATTATCCAATTGTTGAAGGTTTCATTCATGTTATTGTTTATTGTCCACCACATCACATTTACACGATGTGTCAAAGAAGGCCTTGCACCACAGCTTTGGTGGGATTGATTTTAAGGCATCAAGACCTTCCACAGTTAAATTTCTAATCTCCTCCATGTTTTTGTTCAATTGGCCTTCAGATGTTGACCTTGTAGCAATCTAGAATCTTTTCTTCAATAGTTTCCCTTTAAAATTTTTTTGCCAATTGGCATATATATGCTTGGCACATAATTTATGCATAGCCTCGGGGAAAACTGTTTGTCTTACATTAATCAATCCTTACCAAATTGTATTTAATGAAAACAAATAACGTTAATGACTAATAATAAAGTCAATTGAATTGTACAATAAAATTATATAATAAATAGCATTGATGGCTATAGTAACATAAGCATAAAAATTTTTGTAAATTAATTCATAACAAATTGTGCACACTTATAGGATGTTGGTTTGAAATAAATGTTAAGTCTCGCTTAGTGTGATTTGATAGATCATCAGCTAGGCATCTAAAAAAAAAAATGTTCATGAGCTGGTACACTCTGAGTCAATAACAACCCAAGCTATTGGGATCATTTAATTGTTTCCATCTTTTGCAACAGCTGCTAAAAGAGTTTCTTTAAATGTCTCTTTGAGGAAATAGGCATCTACTCCAGTTACTGGTCTACAACCTAGTACAAAACCCTTTCTACATCCTTCAAGGCACACATAAATTCCTTTAAACATAGGTTTTCCCTCTGGAGTTATGGGTGACTCAATATCAATTTGAACATTTGACTTAGGGGACAATCTCAATAGCTTTTCTACGTACCCTCTTAACCGAGCAAATTCCTTCATGTGAGTTTCCTTCACCTCCTTCTTTTTTTCCTTTTCTAGTTTACACTTATCTCTTAAAACATGAACTCCTAATTCTAAATGAGAGAGTCTCACTAACTCATTGATTTTGATTTGCGAATTTACAAAAATGCTGTTCCTATGGTGTTTTGCAAGTACTCTTGACCCAACCATGTCGAACTTCAAACTCCTAAAACGAGTGTGTTCCTTACAATATGCCTTCACCTTAAAAGTCTTGTCATTTTTATCAAAACTGGCAAAGATTTGCCAATTGCATTGTTGATTAACACAATGAATTCTCTGCTTAGTGGGGTTACTTTTAACAAGTTTCAGTTTACAGCCTTTTTGAATTTGGTACTTAGCTATAGCTTCTTTAAACTATGCAACATTCTCAAACTTCATCCTTATCTCAAAACCAAACATTAGTTCATGAAGGATTAAACCATAAATCACCATTTCTGGTAGTTCTTACATCTTCCTCTTCTTCTTCAGGTTCATCTTCATCCACAACGTTGTACTCACTCGAATCATCATTAGAAACCTCAAATTCATCTTCATTATTTTCAAAGCTAGAATCAGAAGCCAAATCTCCATGGCCATCAGTTCCTACGGGAACCCTTTCATCCTCTTCATTAATTATGGTAAGGGTCTCATGGACTGTGCCACTTGATCCAACACCATCTGCATTTTTTTTGCACTAGCTTTATGTTTCTTTTTATTGTGAATAGATTCAAGAACCTCCTCATCATCCACATCACTATGTACAACATCAAGCAAGTCCTCATCATCATGAGCATTCTTCTCTTGATCTTGTTGTTCGGTTAGATCACCTCCATGCACTGCATCTGTTTCATCAGTATCACCTTCGATTGCTAGAGCTTCATGAAAATTTGGGACTAGTTGTGAATTTTGTGTCACACAGCCTTCCCCACTTTCCTCATCATCTGCATCACGCATCACTATGCATAATATTAAGCAACTCCTCATCATCATGATCATTCTTCTCTAGATCTTGTTGCTGGGTTGCATCACCTCCATGCACTGCATCTATTTCATCACCCTCACCTTTAGCTGTTTTTGGAGCTTCACTACAATTTGGGGCTGGTGGTGAATTTTGTGTCACACAACCTTCCCTAATGTCCATTGTACCTTCATCAGCTGCTTCATGTAAAGTAGTGCCACTCTCAAGCAAATCTAAAATGTTTGGCTCATCACACACATGCTCAACGTATACATCTATAATTCCTCTTTCATTTAAAAGGTACTGCATGTGAATAAGCTCCTACTTACTATTTATAACCTTTAATGCTTCACCAAAATTTTCCACATAAGGATCTTTGTAATAAATGTCCTTAAAATGCATATATCTAAGGCTTTTTACCCTCTCCTCTAAATACGACAAAGTTACACGATGATATTCAATGTTCTCATCATGTACTTCACCTGCACCATACCTAAGATCCTTATTATGGCTCATGCAAAAAGTGCCACTATGGTGAATTCTTAATGTTCCCATCACAGTCATATAGGAAGAAAAGATATAAATTAATATAAATTAACACACATTTTAGCATTAAATCTATAAATCAAGTTATTGATTACAAATTTATAGATTTAGAAATAATTAATTTACAGTAATAGCATAAACCCTAAACTAAAAACTCTAACTATACTTGTACGATCATGATTGAAATTGAATTCAACACTAACAGAAAAAGCAAAAGAAAACAAAAAAAGTATAACGTTTCAGTTTGATTACTCAGTAAATTACATGAACCCTAAAAATACCCTTAATGATCAAACACGGCTTAAATTTATTTTAATCCTAAATAAACCTTAAACCCTAATTAAATATCACCTCCAACACAAATCTATTACCCCTATCCTAAATATCAGTAAAAGTTAAACAAGATTGTGTTAGAATAAAGGAAAAATACATGTCAATGGCACCAAGAACAGTGTCAAAATCATCTGTGCTTTGTGGTTCCTTTTGAATGTTCTATTCCTTCAATCCCAATCTAGATTCATTTGGTTGGTGGGTAGAGTAAAGTTGTTTCCTTCTATGGTCATTTTCTGGGTTGTGGGGTTAATCAAGAAGCTTTTCTTTGTTCTCGATCATAATGCTTGGAGTCGAACGATTTGTTTGCATTCATCATTTTTTTTTTTTAAACATGTAGTCAGTGGTGGGGCCCACAAATAAAATTGGTAGCAATAGAATTCTCGCTCATGAGGGGTCCAAGCTAGATTTGCCAACTTGTCAAAAACAGTATGAGTTGGCACTGACATGTACATACATGATGGAGGCTATATGACGGAGGCTAACGATGCACGTGTTACACATGATCTCTGGTGTTAAATTTTGCCTCATTTTTTCAAACTCAAAAATATGAAAAGTAAAAATCTATATATTGTAATATAAAAAATAAAATACCTCAAATTCAAAAAGTTGAAAGGCGAGGGGGGCTTTTGCTTATAATTTGGAATCATGGCAACTTTAAATTTGAATAAAATTATTTTTTATTTTGAATAAAATTATTATATTTTGCTAATCGAAGAACGTGCATATATGTGCCTGGCTTAGGAAAAGTACAAATTGATATTGTCGAGCTGTCGTACAAACTGGGAGATTTTTTAGTAGAACCAGACAT